CCCCTCTACCCCCCTAGACACTTGGCTCCTGGGAACTGTTTGGCCACAAAAGAAACTCTAGGGAAGATCAACACCTCCTCTGTAGTCTCCAGAATACAGTTCTGAAAATGATTGGTATCTATGCACAACAGGACACCTTCAAATAACTAGAAAAAGGCACTGAAACCACAGAATGTTCCCTCTCATCACTGACCAATGTGAAACTTGGTACACAAGAATTTCATGCTAAAATATGACTCAGTGAAATTCTCATAATTGGTTCCCAAATGTCAACCAATCAGAAACCAACCCGTGCCTACTTAAGTAATCCTGTAACTTTTGTCTTTAAAACCTAGCAGTAGACAGGGAATTTGCTGCCTGTGTAGGCTGCTGTGACAGCTAGCCAGATAGAGTCCCTGTCCTGATTGGGTGGGAACAATCAATAAAACCTTGCTTTTGCAGTTTGGTGGGTCTGTCTTCCTGGGGTCACTGGGAATCTTATGACTTGGGCACAACACTCCAGTTTCTGTTCCTTTCCCATTAGATTCTTTGGATATGATTCCATAAAGGATGACAAACCATCCTTACTGGAATGTGTCCTATTTTTACCTGACTTCATTCCTCTACTTCATAAGTGGTCATTTGAGACCTCCATTCAGCATAGGTGGGAAAAGGATGAAACTTCCATATTCCAATGAGTCTGTAAATATTTGTCTCCAGTGGCTGCAAGGCAACATTCACCCACATATCCTTAAAGCAAGGCATCCTCCTGATAGACAGACATGAGAATCAGGAAAGTAAGACCCACATACATACAAACATACATACATACATACACACACAAAAACATACATACATGAAGGAAAGGTAAAAAGCCCCAAGGAAAAATATATATTAAGAGAAAGAGATTAATATTAAAATAAGAGATAAAATAAAGCAGATGATTGAAGCAGGTATTCTAGCTGGTCTTAATAATAAAAACACAGAGACAGATATTGGGGTTAAAGCTGAAGATCAGAGAAGCAAAGGGACCATCCACTAGAGAGTTTGTCCATCTACCAATGCTCAGACAGAAAGGGAGATGAATTCTTGTCTCCTCCTGCCTTATATCCCTCTCTAGTTCTTTGTAGACAAGGCTGACATTGAACTCACAGGGATCCACACTATTCTGCCTCCTGGGTGTTGGAGTATGGATTAAAGGTGTGTGACACCATTCCAGATACTGATCCAAACACTTCAAAAAAAAAAAAAAAAGGATTAATCCTAGGTGTTGGATTGTTTCTCTTGATGTAGAAATGTGGAAGCAAGTATGCCTGGTGCCCAGGAGGGTCAGGGTGTTTTCAAATCTCTGGAAACTGGAGTTATAGATGATGTGAAAAATCTCAGAGAATAATAGTCACAGAGAATCAGTTGTCTATTTTGCATAATGTTACCCATTTGGTATCAACTTTAATCCTTTGGGTTTCAGAGGTGTTCCCTCTCTCTGTTTAAGCTTCTCTTTCTCTGTTCTGTTTTTTTTTTTTTTTTTTTCTGTTCAGATATTGTGTCACTACGTAGATTTTACAAAGCAACACCAATATCCTGATATCACCCAAAAAATCATCTGGGTGTACCTCACTTGATAGAGTGCTTACCTACCTATTAATTAGACCTGTGTATGCCACTCATTAGATTATAATACATACATACAAGTTATTCTACTCTCTGCAGATAGAGACAACAGAGGAGAATGCAATGGCATCCTAGCTCCATGGCCTGGAAACCTGCTTTGAAAATTCAAGAAACTTCCTCTTGATGCAGAGCCAGAGGCTCTCAGAGCTTTTATTCTGGACTCTCAATTTCATCTTATTCCTCTTAGTAATGGGGCTAAAGATGAAAAAGTAAATAAAATATAAAATAAAACACAGAACTAATAAATTGTTTGAATTGTAAAGACTGTAGGAATTTCAAAAATCACAACGTTTTATATTGTGATGCTATTATGTAATATTGATATGAGATCATGTTGGATAAACAAGAAAGGAAAAGTTATTATCACATGATTAGAAAGATGTTGGATGGTCTGGAGAGATGGCTCAGCATTTAAGAGCACTGACTGCTCTTCCAGAGGTCCTGAGTTCAATTCCCGGCAACCACATGGCGGCTCCCCACCACCTTGAATGAGATCTGGTACCCACTGCTTTCAGGCAGGCAGAAGACTGTATACATAATAAATAAATAAAATCTTTGAAAAAAAAAAAGGTAGGTGTTGGACAACATGGTACACTCTTTACCTCATTCCCAACCATTCTCCCACCCCAACCATCTATTAAAAGAACTTTATGCTTGTTTTCCTTGTAGGCACCTAAAGATCCCCTGAGAGGCCTGTCAGTGACTCACTGTAACCCCTAGGATCACAGTAGAGACATCTACATGAGTTCCCCTGCACAGTCAGTTAAAACTTCAGGATTTGAGAGGGGTGAGAGGGACCCACTTAAGTCCTGAGCCCCTCCCAATTCTATCAGCCAATGTTAGACCTCCCCTGAAGATCCTGGTTTCAGAGAACTGTCACTAAGGACATCTTCAACTCATTGCCATCCCTACCTGACCTGAGATGCTGATCCCAGTTCACCATGTTCAATTCCCATGGGAAGTAAATTTACAAATCTACCTTTTAGGACCAGCTCCATCACACTGCCAGGATGAGACATGTAATCCTCGAGTACTCTGTCCTTCAGAGTAGAGTGACAAGGCACAAAGGGGTGGGGTGGGGGTGGGGGTAGGGGGCTGGTCACCGTGAAATGACTAAGACAGTGCTGCCCTGTTCTGACTCCATTTTGTGTTTGTTTTAATGGTTTTCAGCCCTCTATACCATTCCCCACAACAACCCACCTTCCTTGGCAACACATAAGATATTTTCATGGCCCTTTTTCTTTTTCTTTTTTTTTCTGAGACAGGATTTTTCTGTGGCTTTGGAGGCTGTCCTCTTCTACCCATACCATTACAAGACACAGGGGTAATTGGAACACCTCTCTCTGTTCTGTTCATTGGTTCATTGTTCAGTTTACAATATGGCTGAAGATAACTTTGAACTGATCCTAATGCCTCCAACTCTTGAATTCTGGGGTTACAAACATGGTCCTAGCAGGTGTGCTGCAGTCAGTGCTGGGCAGAGGACCCAGGGTATGCTGGTTAGGTTTCTAGGAACTGGGTGTATCCCCAGCATCCTGACCACCACTTTATTATTTATTTACTTATTTAGTTATTTATTTATTTTTGGTTTTTCTAGACAGGGTTTCTCTGTGGCTTTGGAGGCTGTCCTGGAACTAGCTCTTGTTGACCAGGCAGGTCTTGAACTCACAGAGATCTGCCTGCCTCTGCCTCCCGAGTGCTGGGATTAAAGGCGTGTGCCACCAATGCCCGGCTTCTTTATACATCTATTGTCAGTAACAGTTTCAATTCTAATCTGACTCAAACTCAGAATGACTCTGGTCACATGATCAAATTCATCAAGGTATAGTGATTCATAAGAGTAATCCTAGAAAGAAGAATATTGGGACAGTTCCAAAACAATCTTAGCTTCAGAGTAAAATCCAGTCCCTCTATCAAATTGAAACCTAAGTAATAAATAAGCCAATAAAATGACACATCAGGAAATTCAGTGTTGTGTAGTTAATTAGCAAGTATTATCTTTATGTTTATCCAACTTGGAGGGAGGGGGAGGGGTGTTTTCAAAATTAGTTTGATTCAACTAAGGAAATGATTGAAAGTTATCTATTGAATTAAAATGGTGGACACTGAACCATCCAATCAAATAGCAGCTTGGGGTTGGAAGGCAGGGCTGCAGTAAGGAGGGTGAGCAGAGAGGTGTATAAATGCTTCAGGAGAGCCACTTAAGACACTCCTAGAACTGGAATTAGAGGAAGTGCAAGATTCAGCTTTGATAAGGGATTCGTCTTAAGTGCTCAGAACTGGTGAGTAATTGTCCTCCCTTGGGTCTTGCAGTATGATGTAGCGTCCTTTAGAGCCAAGATTGGACAGAAAATTTTGATTTCTCTCTCCAGATGAACACACTGATGACACTGGCTATAATTCTAAATGAAGTTTTACCTTCATCTCAAATGAATTTCTATGATAGCTTGTTGAGCTCACTGTGATTATCGATCCTTTTGAGAGAAGGGTTTTTTGTTTGTTCAAACTGACCTAAAACTGTCCCTTGTAGTTCTGTGTAGGATGGAAATCAAGACCCTCCAGTTTCACGAAGCTGAGATCCCTAGAATGTTCCTT